TATATTTCTGTAGTATCCATAGCATCCTTTTGGTTGGTTTATTAATATTACAATTAATATTAAAACATAAGATGCTAAATACATGTTAACAACTATATTGTTGTGTACTATATCAGTAGTGAAGCCAGCCCAACTTTTAGTCATGCAAATACAAATATTCCTGTGCTCATAGACTGTGAAAACAATCAATTTATAAAGAATTTAATGATGATAATGATTGAAATTTGCATTTTACATGGCTAAAAGTCAGGCTGGCTTCACTGCTGGCTGTTATAAAATGTTAAAGTTGATTATTATTGATTATTAAAATGATGTTTCAGATACAAGTATGCATCCCTGCATTCATGTGGTTTGATTGTTTTGTGGTCAGGAATCAGTCTTTCACATTCTGCTCTAACATTTGGCTGTAAATAGTCATCTGGCACTGTTAAAACACCTGATTGGGTAGCTGCTTCCTTCAACTGTTCTTCACTCACTTTAAGGCCTGTAAAATAAGAAATTATGCATTTTCATGTAAAGTTTGAAGACTGGCCATTATGTGCACCACAAGTGCACATTACTGATTTTAATAAATTTTTGTGCTTATCTCATCAATACCCCCTTTTATTTAGCATTGAATATATGAAAAAAATAAATAAGAAATTAAATAACTAAAACTGTAGTTTAACTCACAGGTTCTTATACCGGTATCTCCCATATTTACTTTTAAATCTGATAAATAAATAAATAGGGACACCATTTATCTCTAAAAATTTAGATTTAAAACTTAATTGCTGTTGAGTCAACTTTGGTAATAAAAAATAATATTGACCCTTTCCTTCATAGTGATTGGGTTTTATAATGCCTGGCTGTTGCTAAAGAAGATAATAGCTTGTGTATTTGATCAGGTTAAAGGTCAATAAGTTAGGATGACAAAAATAACTAAAAATAATATACCACATTCTTCCAGACCATACTCTTCTGGAAAGCTATACATATGATTTGGCACACCACTAGGTAAAACTGTGTCCTTTTGTGCCCGTATTCTGTGGGTGTTCCATACACTGTCCTTAAATGAATCCAGTTCCTTCTGTACCAGTGGTATCATGACAAATGATAAAAGCATCCTAAAATTATAAAAAGAGTAAATGATAGTTTAGCAAATTATGGCCTTTCCTTTCTTACCAAATAAAATTGACCTCCACAAATTCCCTATGGATTAAATCAGCATAGGCAGATATTAATTGCCACTTAAATATGCAATTTACCACAAATACATACCTGTCAGTGTCATTGTGAGGATCATAATAACCCTGGTCTTTCAACCATCTTAAATGCACTTTAAAATACTTTTCCATTCTTTCGTGCAAATCCTTCCACCATCTTTCAATCTTAAACAGGTAAAAAATTAAAATACAAAAAAATGTTATCCATTTGGATAGAATGTCAATGTCAGTTAAGGGGGCAAAATACCTGATTAGAAGTGGATGGACCATATAAAATAGTCTCATGTGGATCCATATCCCCATGGTTTCTTCGTAAAAAGGCATGCAAGGTCGCCATTACACCTGTTTCAGTGCCCTTGTCCACTCTTAGCATGGCTGCCATCAACCTTGTTTCATAAAGGTATTCAAGGTACCACTTCCCAATTAATTTTGGTTCAGAGTTGGATACCCAAACTTTTAGCCACAGCAACTTCCTGCTGGCTGTGTCGATGCAGCCATAGATGGCCAATGGGAAGGTGGAATTTTGGTATCCCATCAATTTATCATGACCATCAAGTGCATGAACCCAGTTTCCCTCTTGTGGTGAAATGTCTCTTCTTCTTTTTCTGCTTGCCACCTATTCCACCCCTTGTTTCAAGCCCCACTGGGTCAAGCTCGCTCATAACGTCATAAACTTTATCCCTAGTGACATTCAAACCATGTTCTACTCTAATTTTTTTGCATGGCCCTGTAACCCAAAAGTTGTCCAGGACCATTTAACTCAGTTTGCACCGCTTTGATCACATCCGAAACTGCAATATTTTGATCATTGTAATACAACTCAAAATAGCGAAGCCGTCTGTCGAGCGACCTGAGACTCCACGTATACTGAGAGAAATCGCGAGCAACAAAATCCAGTACTTCTCTTCGTTGTAATCCTTGCTGCACATATGTTGACAAAGATTCTTTAAGATTTTCATCTTCCTTCCACTCTGCTTCTCTAATGTCAGAATTGTCGGCCATTTTGTATTAACGCTTCGCATTGAATCATGGTAGTGGCAGCCCTCGGCCATAGCGAATTTAACTTTCACTTTAATTTCAATCGAAATGGATATTGAATTCATTTCAATGTCCGCCATTTTGTATTAAACGCTTCGCATTGAATCATGGTAGTGGCAGCCCTCGGCCATAGCGAATTTAACTTTCATTTTAATTTCAATCGAAATGGATATTGAATTCATTTCGATGGTTGTATTCTATAGTGATTCACTTTGTATCTTATTTTAATTTATCTTTAATTTTATTTTTATTTTCAA